CTACGATACCGACGACGTCGGCGACTGGCAAACACAAAAACCGGAAACGTTCATTGTAAACGTCAGTGTACAATTTGCATCGTTATAAAAGTGTATAATTATTATTCGCAATATGGTTCTAATGATATAATTATATTATTTTATATTATAGTGCAGGTCACATATTATTACAAGCGACGACTGTGTTAACACGAGGATCTCGGACCGTAATTTCCGTATTTTTCTTTGCTATTTTTTTTTTTTTTTGACGACAATCGACTGCCATGCAAACAAATCACACATACACGCACCTACATGGAAAATGTAAGATGCGGGCCGCCGACTACGACGTTTTTAATGAACCGTTCGATTGACGTTTGATTAGAAAAAAAAACTAATATGTCCTTTATTTTGCGCTGTAAACTGCTGTTGGATTCACGAGGGAGCAACGCCGTAACGATAAACTCGACTACCCGAGAGTTCTTACACGCACGTACCTAGTAATACTTCACAGTAATATTATGTACATGTCTACGTGTTTGCACGCCCCCGTCGGGTTTCCGGGGAAACGAGAATTCGAAACGGAAACAAGTTTCAAGCACCTGACGTGGAATGACGATACTGTTGTATAGTCAATGAATTACTCAAGAGGAAGTAAGTTCGGACCACGGTCAGAAGTCATCGTATATTACACCATACAAGTGTTCAAATGAAACAAAACACAGGGCGATTCGCCAAGCGTGCTCGCTACTATAAAATCCAATTCATTGTTTATTCAAATTCGGATTGTTGGCATTTTTAAGCATATCTTTCAATCAAAATAAAAAAAAGTATATGCACTGCAGTTATTTAATAAATTATGAGGATTAGGGTCTATATATGGTATTCAGGTCTAGAAACAAGTTGAGGACGTCATTCCCCCTCTGAATGTTGATATTTCACAAAGAATTATTCCCTATCACAGTAAATCATGGTTCCAGTTATGTTCAAGCCCTCGAGGAGGGTTGTCAGGTTACAAGTATATTAGAAGATGAAGTCATGTTTTAAATTAGGTAATGTCTATTTGAATATTTAGTTTTGTATTACAATTACTCACAAGTATAGTGGATTTCATCTAGTTCTGTGACATTTTCAACAAAAATCCGACATGTTGCTATGAGTAGGTAGTTAGTTAAATATCACGGAGCATTAGCAAAAATGCGGAGAGCTCTGTTTCGGGAAAATAGAACTGGTCACTCAGATGTCGAAGGCCTTGGCAGGCCCAAGTTTGAAAATATAGCAAACAGCGTAATATTGGTCATGGAAATGTCACTGATAAAAAAATATATATTGGTCACATGATATGTAAGAGGACTCATGGTTTAATGTCATTGAAACGTAAGGTGATACTGTCTTGTATTTGAATGTTTTTTTTTGTTTTCAAAATATGATTTAAGAACTATTATGTATAGTAGCGCTGGCGTACATTTTTTTAATTTGTACGTGTAATAGTTTACAGCAGACCATTGTGCTATACTTCGTAAAGCGCTTGCGCTCAATGTCAAGAAACAGTCTGGTGCCGTATTGCTTTTTTCGAGTACAGAGGTTAGTACCGGTTAATCACTGTGGACTTGGTGTATTCCTAATGATTATAGATTCGAATTAAAACTGTCAATTATAGGTAAGGTTTTGTGCTGATATAAACTTCCTCTTTTTCAAACGAGAACCACTTTTTCGACAGTACGTTTTAAGCAGATTTTTTTTTTATTTTGCCATGTATATGAAATTGAAAGTTTGAGGTATGAAACTTTATGCATACAAAGGATAACCATTATTTACAGTAAAAAAGGTGGTTTTCGTTTGAAAAAAAAAAGTTCGTATGGACACAGAAAACTTTAAATGGTTTATAAAAATACATTCAATTTTTAAGAATTAAATAATATTATGGTTTTAAGTATAGCTATATCTTTACAAATTCTTAAACTTATAAGTTGAAAAATGTATTATTAATAAAGGATAAAATGAAGGAGGGTATGCTTGGTGAATTATTCTGTATAGATATTAAGGGGATATATAAACGATTTATCAATTTTTATTTATTTCAAATAAGGTTGTATGCTTATTTTCGGTTGTTGAGCGATACCAACAAATCCGTATAGCCGGCTTTGCAAACAATTTATTCTAGTCAGATAGCCCAGAAATCTATATTATGAATCATAAACATCATTAATATTTATAATTGCTATTATTTTATCACTTGATGGTTCTAAAGATATCGTATATATACGATATGGCACACCTTAAATGAAAAAGCACAAATTAAAATTTCAAATGCATTTGAAAATTAATGAAAAAACAATTTGGATTTATACAATATTATGCGCAGATTTCAGGATTCTCCGAATGACATGCAATTTTGGATTTCAGTCGTGTTTCAAAACATAACCACATTTCCATTTCTAATGTGGAAAAATTGTTTTAGTAAGATACGCCTGCAGCGTGGTTTTACATACACTCGCATAGGTAGGTATATTCAAATATAAAATTCCCGAGATCAGGGACAAAACAAATCGTATCGAAAAATCTGAGTGTCTGAACAAAAATATATGCTTAACCACGTTTTTGCGAAGGGGCTAGTGGTTTTTTCGGTGGTTCTGAGTGGATATTTACGCCGTAAACACGTGGCTAGCAAAGGTGTGCTGATATCGTTCTAAATCTACGAGAGGCACTTAAATCGAAGATGCATGCACAAAATAAAGAGGCCCATTTTATTTACTATCGGTCAAATATATTTTTAACAGTCCAAATTATGTATTGTATGATACACTGCAGGCAGACTATGGCGTCATTCGAATGATATTTTATTTAGATAATATTTTATTCGGATGATTTTTCACAATTATTCGAATAATTTTGAATAGTTTGAAAAATAAATATTCGACTAAATTTCAAACATAGTTGTTCGAACAGTCGTCGGTTATTTTATTTCATTAAACAATTTGGATAATTTTAAAAAGTGGCTTAGTGGATGTGCCATATAGTAGGTTTCAATTAGTGGGTCACTGTAATGTAAATTGTTAAATTTGAATTGATTAGTAAATTATCAAAAAGATTTATTTAATTTGATATTTAACAGAATGTTTAAAGTTATTATCAATATGAAGACAAAATAACTAAATTATTCTACCTAACACTTAGAAGGCTGAGACTGGACTATTATTACTACCTAGGTACAATAATGACGTATTCAATATTGATACATATTTAATATTAAGTCATAAAGTAAATATTTTGTATTAGCATTATAAATTATTCGAATAATTATCTAGATAAAATTGTGTGCAACCCTGACTGCAAGTAGGCTGTCCAGTTATTGTTACTACGGTGGCTATAAATAATATTATTCATAATTTTAACAATAGGTACAAATGTACAATAATATTGTACTATCAAATATGAAAATTGGTTCAGATAATTTTACCTATATTTATATTAAATGATGAATTTCTTCGGTCGGCCAACTGGCGATTGTGACTATAGTACCATAGGTGTAATCACGGGCCCGCAGGACCGAGTCGATCAGCCCAAAAAAATGTTGCAGATGAACCACATGAAGCTTTTGCTGCATGTCTATATGAACTTCTATAATAAATAGGATAGTTTTATAGCAAAAACTCAGTACGCTGTTGTAATCAATGTATCGTATAATAATTATGGTTTTGGCTGTATTTTGTAAGTATTTAAACGTACGTTTTATTTTATAAATTAACTATATAACGACTTTTCAAATTGTCGGTGTTTATTTAAAATTTGTTACTGACCTAATTTAAAATACAGGACACGGATATTTAAATTTAGACTCTTCGGTTTTGGATATTAAGTCGGTAGATATTTTTTTTTTTGGATATTTTGACCGATTACCGCTATTGGTATGCGTACTCAGTGAATATTATCTCATTTCTGTCCTTTATCGATAAGCTCGCAAGCGCCCCGACACATGCATCTGCGGACCCCGTTTTCGCATTACCATATTATTGTGTACAGAAACAATATTATTATAATATTATGTTCTTATATTCGATTTCACGGACGATCACACGCATTCCGTTCAGTCGGCTGTAGTGTTTTCACTTTCGATTCGCCACCGCTTACAATTTCTAGTTTCCTCGGTTGTCGAAAATTGTTTGGAAAATAATGATATCCTAGTCTCACGTTGCACGTCAATGTGATTTTGTGAAGTAAAACGAAAATACACGAATCGGGTGAAGTACGTTCTATGAAATATTATGCAACATAATATTACTTAATTTTTTGTTGTGTGTCTTAACAATATTAATTAACAAACAATAGTACCTATATGCATCCATTGCGTGGGTGCAGAATCTATGATAATATTTTCGTTAGAACAACAGATTTATGACCTTGCATTGACCATACCATACTGTACACAACGACCTATAAGAAATGTACGTAATTATTCAGGTGAATATTAATAAATATCTTTAAAAATAAGTTTTTATGCTTAATTGTATTGGTTCTCAACTTACCTCGGCATAATGATCATTCAGTTTAATTTGCTAATTAAAAGCAAATCCAATAATCCACATTGATGCACCAAATACATCAACCAGACATCACTAGATAATTGTAAACATGAGTTACGACGTGACTCCGATAATATAATACTTGGGAACTTGGGAAAATCAGACCGCCGCGTCCTGCTGACCACTAAATCCTCTAAAGGTCCCTGGACAAGTCGCTGTAGCAATGGACAGCTGACTTTCTAGTCGACTTGTCTGTATTCTTCATTTAAATGCATTTTGTTTTGGTGCCCACTCATCACCGCGCCGACCGACCGGCGCAGAGGACTTTCATGGCTTTAAACGATCGCAGTCAGAGTTGTCGACCAAAGGATTAAATCGTAAGCTGAGTAGTTCGTTTAGCAGCAGGAAAACCCAAAAAGGAAGAAACTTTGAGTGCTTATCGTGGATGAGGGTTGGCAAAAAAAAAAAAAATAATAAAAAACAACTGGTCGAATACGCTTTGGATTCAAATGTTATATTATTATTATTATTATTCCCAATAACACTAATGTATCAATAAACAGTTTGGAACATTAAAAAAAAAAAAAAAACAAACAAACAGACGGTAATCCGAGCAAACGAATTTCCAAACGGTGCCGACTAAAATCGGCGTATACGTAGTTTTTATGTAGGTATATTATAATATCATACGCTTTTAACAATATAGTATACAATATAATATATTATATTTATTACATATTATGGTTCATGGAGTCCCGCGACCGCCGCCTCACAATATCAAACATATCGTCATAATCTACCCGTAGTTTCGTAAATAAGTGTCATAATCATACCAACGGTTGGCCCAACTGTGCTGATGATTAAGTTCTTATTTATTATATTTTATTGTAGGCTGTGAACCCGAAATAAAAAGAAATTTTGTGATCTTCAAAAAATATTAGAATGCCTAACGAGAAATACGGTTATAATATTTGAGTTTGTGGGTTTGCTTTCTGTATGGTATATACCTAGGTGATCTCGATCACAAAGACGCTGTAACACGACGATTGAGTGGTAATCATCAGCCGAGCCAAACCGTGATGATGGGTATGTAAATAGCGTCATATTGTACGATGGGTAATCGTGGCTACAAACACGAAAAGTCTAATTTCGTGATTTTCAACAGTCGGATTGACAAATAATATTATGGTTAATGCACGAATCCGAGTTGGTGGGTAATGTGCTCAGCTACGGTATAGCAGGTATAACCTCGGTTTCCAGACGTTGTTTATATTGTAACGGTTATTGGGGCCTGGACACGACCCGACATCACGCAGAGGCGGACGGAACATTATCTGTATACAATAATAATATAAATGTCATAATAATAATATATCAATAATAATTATAATGAGCGACGCGTCACGGCGAGTTTTACAAAACTTACTTTACGACAATTATACATAATAATAATAATAATAATAATAATAATAGGTAGATAATATTATGTTGTAATATCATAATAATATATAATATAGTTACATTAACGTTTATATATAATATATAATAAATGTATAAATAATTATGTATAAAACGATAGCTGTACACACCGCCTGGGGGAGGAGAGACATCTACACGATCAAATCTCCGCTGGACCTGTGATGCTGCTGCTGATCTTGCTGGTTATGCGGGTTGTGATGGTTCTGCCGGCGGTTCTGCTGCAGCTGCGACTGATGGTGGTCGAACGCCGCCCGTTTTTCGTCCTCGAAAGTGACCATTTTGTCGCGGCACGTGGCCGGCTGGCGGGGCGGCCGGGAGAGCGTGGCCGCGGCCGTGCGCAACGCGGACGGCGGCAGCGGCGGCGGGATCTTCTGCATCTCGATGGCGGAGCACAGGTCGTGAGCGCTGGCGCTGCGCGGTATGAAGTACTCGGAAACGACGCCGCCGGAATAGTGGGCCGTGGTCCGGTGGTGGCCCATCATGGGCTGCTGCACGGAACACCGGCCGGCCGACTGCCGTTGGAACGGTGGCGGGGGTGCGGGGAGAGGCAGGCCACCTTCGTTGCCTCCGCCACCGCCACCGCAGCCCCCGTCAAAACCACCGTCGTCGCAGTCGTCAAACGCGGGCGGCGGCAATAAGGGTAGTTTAGGGGGCGGCGGCAGAGGCGGCGACAGTGGTGGGGCCAACGGTTTCAGGTCGATCGACGCGGCCGTCGCGTCCGGTGGCGGCGGCCCAAATTCCCCGTGTCAGGAACCGGCGGCTACTCCGTTGTTCCGGTTGTGCGGGTGGGGCGGCTGCCGTCCGCGGTTATGCGGGTGAGCCGTCGCGGACGAAATCGCACCGCCGCAGTCGTCGTCGTCGCAGCCGTCCATGGCACCGGCCACCGTGCACACGACCATGTTGATGTCCTTTTGCTGCAGGTGCTGCTGGTGCTGCTGCTGCTGCTGCGACCACATCCACCACCAACAGCAGCACCACCGGCAGTTACGCGACATAGCAGCCAGTTCGTCCTGCAACAGCTGGAAACACATGGCCACCACGGCCATGCCGACCAGTATGTAACCGGACGACACGAACACTGACACATCCTTGGTGGACTCGACGCCGCCCGGCACCAGCTCACCGAACCCGATGGTGCCCAGGCTGGTGAAACAGAAGTACGAGCCCTCGAGCAGCGTCCACCGCTCGAGCTTTTGGTAGATGAATGCTCCCAGTGCAACGTACGCCGCGACCACGGACAGCGACAGCAGCACGGGAACGCGTTTCTGTCCACCACCGGCCGACATGCCTACTGTCGTGACGTCCGCGTATGCGGCCGCACCCGAGACGGTTTCGAACTCGTAGGGGTGGCGGTAATAGTCGCCACCGCCCACGTGATTGCTGGACACCGTGTTGGGCGGCGCTCGTTTGCCGCCGCCCGGCCTGCCTCGTCCACCGCCGCCACCCCCGTCGTCCCTGTCTTCCCGGTTTCCGGGCGAACACAGCCTGGAGTAGATGCGCCGAAAGTTCTTGGCCAACGTCTCGCCCATCGTGGACAGGTACAGCAACATGAGCGGGATGCCGATCAGCGCGTACACGATCGTGATCACTCGGCCCCAAGGTGTCTGCGGCGTCACGCTACCGTAACCTGAAAAACAAACAGACGGCTGACGATCAGAAACGAATAAAATGTATAATATACGCAGTGAGTTTGGTCCTCATGATCCCGTCGTCATTCGACGACAAACAAAATATAATTAATCAGTGTGTGAGACCCCTTCGACAACATAATTGCCTAATAATCATAGGTTTTTCGTCGATGATATGTGTATTATTGAGAATATTTCATTTAATTAGTACCGAAAAAATATAAAGCTGACGTTACCATATTATCAAAATAATTTCAACAGCACGAAGTCATATTATAGCCTTTAGGACAGACATAATATTAATAGAATACTATATTATATTGTAGTCATGTTATTGTAGCTATGTTAACCATGAAAAAATGGTGACAACTAAAATGTTGCAATAACTTTTGTGTACCTAGTGAATACTAATACTAAACACTGTCGTCAATCTTACTCTTATTCAAGATATCTATTTAAATTTTACAATATTAATAATTAATAATTATACATATTTTATAGTATATAACCTTCTACCTACTATACGATTTCGTTATGAGCGCTTAATCATTAAAGGCCTTATTAAATACTACTACCTAAATTTTTGGGTTAATCCAGCTGAACCCTGTTATTCACAAATGGGATGGATTGAGTTTGGGTGTTTTTTTTTTTTTTTGGAAAAAAATTTGTTGTCAAGTTCACGGGATTTTAGAAGATTAAAAAATCGTGCGCAATCGATTTTAATAATTTGATCGTATTACAAATAAAAAACAGAAAAACGTAATTGATATTATAATAAAATTCGTCGAATGCATTTTTTTTTGGTAAGTACCTATGTAATTGTGGATGATCGAAAACGCCTAAAACGAATTACGATATTTCACATACTCACTGGCGTTTGGTCGTATTAAAATGTGTGTAAGCAGCTGATTTCGTTGTAATACTGTTGTGACGACGAAAAATAACAATAATAACGTTTTAAATATAGTTTGTTAATTAAGTTAAGACTATTAATTTTTGTACGCGTGCATTATCATTTAGTGTATATTATTATAGATTGTGCGTAATCTACACTACCAACATCAAAGTTTCTCAATTACGCGAGTTTCAACGGCGTACATAACATAATAATACCTAACACACTTTGGACAAACTGACATCGTACACTATAATGCTGAGTCCATAACCACTTCAGTTGAGTACCCGTACAGTATAATATTTATACCGATCTGCAACATTCAGACTACGTAAGCAGTCATCAGGATTTTTTTCTTGCGGGACAACGGCCGTCGTCCATCAGATGATATTATAATATAAAGTACTTTAACTCCCGATCTACCCTGCAACTGCACTGTCGTAGTCGTGTTGTCATTTACAAGAATAAATCGAGTGGCAAAATATTGTTAAGTGTACATGTGAGTGAATATTTGTATTATCTAATCATATTCACATATTTTCACGAAGCACTCGTCAGCCGGTCGCCCTGGTCGGAAATACATAAAGTGTCTCCCATACAGTACCTATCGTGAAATTACTTTCTTTACTTTTTATAAAATAAAATCGTATATTAGAGTAAGTGGTTAGAGTTTGGTGAAAAAATTGTTTCAACGTTAACATTTTCAGGAATATCGACGCTTTAATACCGCCATCTTAAAAATGTATAAAACCTGAAAATACCTAATAAAAGATATTTTCTCCGAAGTTGATTATACCTTCAACTTTGTTCCTTGAAAACAGTGCAATTGAAATTCGAAATATTTTATGAAATTATAAAATATCAACACTGTAATGTTACAAAAATCAGTTAAATCGCGTGGCTCATAAAACCGAGAGTGTGTTAAATGTTGACGGTATAACACCGGGAAACAAAAATGTCAATAATCGAACCTTGGGTAAAGTATTTTAGTTTTTTTTAGAAATTCGAGTTATCTCGACCGTGGAGCGTTTTTAATCAATATTTATGGTTTTTTTTTAATTCATTACATATTTAGTTCATCGCCGAAGAGTAATTTAAGTACCCAAACCGCAATGTCTATAATTACGTTAGGGGCACACACACATACACACACGTGTGTAATCGCATTTATAATATATATTACCCAATACAGGAAATTGTACCATGACCGCCATTTTAATTTCGTTATCGGTATGGTTTAGTTCATGGTTTTTGTTACGATCGAAAATATATGCTATAATTCCAATATAATATACAACGAGTACTTATAAATATCTATGTATATGGTATATTATATTATTGTTATTATTATTTGCATTGGGTGACATCAATATCGCAGTGTTCTGTGAGACCATACAATATTATAATACATGAATTCTGGTAACGTGTACGGTGTACCTAGTCGTGTGCGCTAAATGTTTGAAATACGGTTGTGTATATTATGTATACTAAAAACACGATCATATCATAATTATTAATTATTACATTTCAATACAACAATAATATATAGTTACCATTATTATAACGATGTATACAACAATAGTTAGTAATTATACACTTTGACCCAGTTTAAAGGTTGTAGAGCCGCGAGTACTGTTCGCGGACGTCGAGGTATGCTATATGATATGTACCTATAATAATTAATAGATATACATGTATGAATGTTAATTATTATTGGTTATGTAGAGTTGTGTTGGAATTTTCTAAAAACAATTATACATCAATGTTTTTCGCCAAAACTATTTACAATTTCAATTTACGCTATTGTAAGCACTGGGGAATTTCCCATGATATTTTAAATACATATTATAAAATATATTTAAATAAGTCATAATAACAATAACATTTTTTTACTGTTATAATGTTTAGACCGTATAACGTAAGGATTTATTTGAAACTTAAAGAAGTGCGATCGGTATTAAACAGAACATTTTATTTTGTGTTAATATTGGTGTAGGAAATTAACAATAAAACTAATTCATAAAAGGAAAAAAAGAACACGGAAAAAAGGAAATTTTTTTTAACAATTTACGATATAATACTAATTCATTATGAAAATTTAAAAAATGCATACATTTGCAATTAGTGCGTAAAGTGTCACTAGTTAATCACACATTTAATAATTTGAAATATATCAAAAATAATCGAAAAAAATTTATGAAATTATTAAATTCCTTAAAAACGGTCAGTATCCAACCCCCCTAAGAAAATGTATATTTAATCATATTTAAATTATTGGTGATTGTTAATTGTTATTAAACATATAAATATAATAATGCCATTGTAACAAATTAAGTCATGTTCAAACGTATGTCAAATGATTTATAAAATATGTGTTGTGCTGTATGTAACGAAGCATTTATGTGAATTTGTTTGTGATCGTAATTTATGATATTTAAAATTTGTAAATGTGTGATAGTATTTAACACACTAATTAGTCATTACTAATGTATGATTTTTTTTTAATTTTTACAATCAATTAGTATTAGATTTAAAATTTTTAATTTTTTCTGTGAATTAAACTAATTAGAAACTGAAGGGATAGTTGGACATTAAATCTTGCGTGAATATACACAATACCAACTTACCCATAATAGTAAAAAGCAATAGCAGAACATTTTAAGATAACTGTAATAACATTAAGAACGGAAATCGTAGCTCGAATATAATTTACTCCCAAAAAACCAGGATAACATAAAGAGCTAATCCTCTGCAGCTGCTACTAACAAATAGCACTTGCCTTATGATATTAAGCCAGAGAATATTCATGCCCAGTAACGGACAGATATAGCGTTGTCGTGTGAAGAAGGTAAACGCAGCCTTTAACGTAACTTTAACGTGTCACTAAACAACCGTGGACATTTTTTTACCCACACCTGTGTTTTTAGTGTAATGCCTGGCTGCAGGTGTATAGCACCCGCACAGATTTCAAGATAAGCGCAGGTATAGTGAAACACAAAAACAGTAGGTACAGGTAAATGAAGAAAAACCCACTCAATGAACATCAGCCCACCATAAAAAGACCGAAATCAAAGAAAACCTTTTTGAATTCAACGACATGTCCAAAAACATCCCTATCGAAGCAACGACTTCGCAATAAGACTAATAGAGAACAACTATAATTATACCGCTAACAAAACATCGCAACAAACGAAATACGGTAGACATCACCGAACAGATTGAAAATAGACAGGTGTTTCCGGAACGAAAGATCTACGAACTCCGACTGTAGAAGCGCACAAACCGAACTATAAATATAAATAATATAGTGTCCTCTAAGCCATTGCACAACCGACGACTTAATTAATGCAAACGGAAGCGACTACATGAACGTATATGCTGCTATAATTAGATCAAAAAGGGAATATTGTTGTACGTAACCCATCCAAAAAAGCATCTTTACAGATTCGACGTGAAGAAGAAGCATTGTATTATACATAGTTAATTACAATTTTTTTTTTTTAACTTTAGTCCCAAATTGGGTTCTACCGTAGTATTGTTACATTACGCTTGAATATAGTACACACAATATAATGATAGGTATATTAGTATATTACATCTGTACACTGTACGCGTACCTACTATATAACTATACATATTATACGCGAAAGAGAATCGAAAACGTCGGCTAACACGGTTTGTAATATATTATGCGGTTGTAGCATACATCGGGGACGCGGGAAAAATGTATAGAAATGTATGGGGGGAGGGAAGGGGGGAATGGGGGGAATAAAACGGCAAAAAATATTAACGAAATGAAGTCCTAATTTTTTTTTCGTATTTACTCCCCGCTCACGTATCGAACAGTAAACACGACGTTAATAATGGTATGACATGTATATAATAATATACGGTGTGTGCCGTCGACGTCGTAATACAATATAATAAACACAATTGTTTCATTCGTGCAGTGAAAAACATCGAACGATTCGACAACAAATACAAGGTGAAAATGCGTGAAAACTTATCGAAACGATTTTTCGCGTCGCGGACGGACGATAAACGTTAGGAACATGGAACATCAAAATGAAAATAACAACGATGAAGGGAAAAAAAATATTTGAT